ATGCTGGTGGTGGAGGCGGAGGACGTCGCGGTCGTAGGAGGCGCGGCGGGGTGGGTCGGAGAGGACGGTGTAGGACTCGGAGAGGAGGGAGAAGGTGTGGGAGGCCGAGGGGTCGGAGGGGTTGGCGTCCGGGTGGTGGACTTTGGAGAGTTTGTAGAAGGACCTTTAGGGAATTTGACGTTAGTGGGAGCAGTGAGATGGGGGCGGGGATGGGATAGGAAGGAGAGGGATGAGGGTAAGATTGGTAGGCTTACTTCTTGATCTCGGCCGGCGTGGCGTCGTGGCGGATGTTCAGGCGCTCGTAGTGGTTCTTGGCCGCGACATCGTGCAGTCGACACGAGGTGGTGAATGCACGAAGGGAAGCCGGCTGGAGGGCTTTGCGGCCCGCGATCAATTGGGGGGAACACGCAGCGCGCGAGAGGTTATAACCGAAACGGAATGGCATCCCTCATCACGAACATGTCCCTGGCCTAGGGATCGCACCGTCTATTGCAGTTCTAGGGCGAATTGCTCGTGGTGGTTTGCAGGAGAGCGAGAGTGATGTAATTGAGTCTGGGTCGTGTGAGGTGGGAGAGATAATGCTGATTGATATGATATGCAAGCTACGGGGTTATGTGGATACCGGGCCGATGCCGCTTTGCTCTACTCGATCGATGATGTCCTCCTCGTTGTTGTAACATCACTGCGATGCATTATTTCATCTTTGCCCAGACATTTCCTGGATGTTGGGCTCCCATATCAGACAATTTTCTTTGATGGACCATTTGTTGTCACTCTAAGAAACCTAATATCATCCCGACACACGCATTTTCCAAGTTAAACGCCAACGATGCGATTGCCCTTGAGCAACACGCAGTTCAAGTACCCAGAAAGGCCGTGGACTCATGACTGAAACCCAGCCTCGTAGCATTTCAAAAATAGGCAAGTTCATTTCCTGACAGCTTCCTACCTGTCATCAAATCATACAGGGCGCTTGAACGGATGCGCCTCCGAGTTGAACACCCACTCATCCAGGTTAAGCACGTGGTCATCCTCAAAGATGAGATAAAAGTACTTGAGCGTCTCAGCCAGCCAGAAAGTCTGTGAAATAATCCAGTTAGCTTCCACTTCTCATCTGATGATGAAATATCTAGAGGACATGTATACTTACCTCCATGGAGTCGACTTTCTCACTCTTCTGCTCTGCAACATTCTCAATCGACGCAAACGCCAGCTGTGTTTCCGTCGCCTTGACAATGCCCTCCCACATCCTCCATGCAGCATCACGCCATTTCTGGTCTCCGGTGATGCGCCACATATAGAACACACTCTCAATGGCCTCTGGCCTCAGCTTGTATCCGGGCTCTCGAGCCCGCACGAAGCCGTCAGGGAGGGGACTCTCCGAGTTGGAAGGGAACGACTCTGCCTTGTATTCGCAAGGACCGTTCTTGTCCTTGCACGGGATGTGCTCGGAGATCTCGGGCATGATATTCGTAGGGAAAGAGTCATAAGCCCAGACACACCCGCCAGTCAGCCTGCTCCCAACATCCAAGTAGTCGTCGCGCTTTAGGAGCTTGGCAGCAAGCGCATACATCCCACCAGCAAAGCATGTGAGGTGATGCATCTCTGCGTAGTACCTGGCGTTGCCGTCATCACTAAAGATTACAACGCCAGACAGCAGGATGTTTTCATCTTTGGGTGTCATGGGCCGGTATAAGAGGTGATCCCTTGTCGCATCAAGTGCAGCAACCGTCATCTTTTCATACTCGGGATCCAACCCTCCGAGAAGAGCGTGCATTTTGGGGAGGTATTCGTAAAAGGAGTCAGCCCCAGCACCCATTGTGTACCTGTGATTCTCGGTCCCTGTCTTTTCGCGATAGTTCAAATCGCGCGGCCAGAGACCGGGGATATGCGACTTGGGCTGGTACTCGTTGAAGAATTTCTTCACGCGCTCAGCCGCATCGTAGTATTTGGGGTCTTTCGTAAGCTGGCTGAGCCGGGTGAATTCGAGAAACAGAGTGCCCCCAACAGCAATGGACATGGATGTTTCAGCTTCCTGCCTGCCATTCTTCGCCCTCTCAAACTCGAGCCATTTCACTGGGAGTCGATTCGGCGTGTCAAATGCTGCGAAAAGGGCATCACCTAGCTCAATGGCCTTGAGTAGCAGAACACGCTCCTCCGACAGCTCGTAGGCGGATAGCAAGCCACCGAGGTACCGGATCGTCGTCTCAAATAAATTGATCTTCCTCTGGGAAGTGCTCTGCCAATCAATCAGAGCGACCTCAGCGACAGCAAGACGAAATTCGTCCTTGAGGCCCATGATCCACAGCGTATCCAATGCATCAACAAGCTGCGCAGACCAGCCGCAAAAGGTATTCTTCCCCCTCCCGGACAGGGGCATCAGCTCGTCCTTCGTCCACGCATACGTCTTATACGCCTCCCAGCTCTTGAGGAACTTATTCTTGATGGCAGTCTTCCGCGCCAGCGTCTTCTCGTTCTGCGCATCCGAGCCGAACTTGGCCTGCACCTTGGGGAGCCTCTTCGGCCGCCCCGAGGGGGGTGACTTGATGTCACCGACAGCGTAGCGCGGCTTGATCCGGCTCCAGTCGAACCGGCTGGGCGCATACTTGTAGCCGTTGATCATCTCCGTGGCCCGGCCTGGGAACGACGGGGTGAAGTCGGGATTCCGCCATAGCAGCGTGACGATGGCGAAGAAGATGACGACGACGACGAAGCGGCGCAGGGGCCGTCCGGCGAATTGGGACGGCATCGCTACCGCATTTCTCGGCCTCGCGACGCCTCGGCAGCCTGCCCTGCGGATGACTGCAGTCTGATGCTGCTGTGTGTTGGACCCTGGCAGAGCGATCGGCAAGATGGATTCTATGGATGCACTAGCCTGTCGGATGAGGACTGTGCTCTGTTGATGAGAGAGATCGGGATGGAATTGTCGAATGAATCGAGCAACCGGTTCGCTAGTCGTCGCGTAATGAATTCCTCTCGATGGTTTAGCAATGCAGCGATGAATAAAGCCAGCAAAGGGCACGGAGACAGGTGGAAAGGAGGTGGATGGAGGAACTTGGGGTCTGTGTCCTGCTGTGGGGAGCCCTGTCGGTAGTTGCACTATGTCGCCCCTGTAGCCTGGCGGCCAGTTACAAGGAGCGCCCCTGCTATCAGGCCTGTGCTGCCTCGGCGCGGCTTATCGCAACGGCAGGCCGCTTGGGCCTATCTCGAGGTTCGAAACTGATCTGACCTGAGACAACCTACGGTAGAAGTACTTCACAAGCTCTGTCCTTATCTCCAATAGTCTGTACTGCCCTTAAACGAAAACCGTTCTTAACAAGATTGTATGCCATTCGTCCTTATCGCATGCAGGAATGGCGTACACGACATAGAATCACCATGACTTGGGACGCACGCTTCTGCAGCACATTCAGGTTGTGATAACATGTGGCCTGCACCTCCCTAACTGGTGTAAAACACGTCTGAGCACTGAGTACGAGCACTTGAAACATTACGAATTGGTATCCGAACAAGGTGTAGCGGTAAGGACAGGACTTGATTAGACTTACGTAGAGTAAGTCTAAGGGTACTAGAATCAAAGAATGTCTAAGGTCAGATGTAAAAACAATTTCAAAGTCTTGTGGAATCTCCCCATGCCGCACGTTCGCACAATCGCTTTAAGGGATCTGAGATACCCCCGACTCACGCATGTACGACGCAATGGTCTGAACCACGACGATGAGGTAGACTTTGGTGAGCTATACTATTTCGCGGACAATACATCTCGGCTGCGTTCGTGCCGTTGCCTGCATGTCTCCTAGGGATACACATGCCTGGGTCACTTCCTAATTCGTCGGTAACATGTTGCACACGCCGAAACATGGTTCCCGAAGAACCGCTGTGAAGATGGAACGTGCCCAGAACCTATACCTTCTCCAGAGAGCTTTGCCGTGCAAAGAAATAGCAGTTCTGGACTGTAGGACTTTGCGGTTGATGCTGGCTCGTGCACTTGGTGGGTCCGCAATAAGCATCGGATCAGGTCGCTGGAGCGTCTCTATCGACGTAGACTTGACATCGTCCGACTGCTGCAATGGCCAGAGCCATCCAGTGCGGCAGAAACGGTATTGAACGTTGTTGGTGGAAGCCAAATAGGGAGGATTTGCAAATTAAATCTATCCATCATCATCATCGTTCCTTTTTGAATGACGCAGAGACTAAACTCAGTCGTAGCCTCCTCCGATTTGGCTGTGGAAAGCGGTGCTAACGCTCTTCTCGTCGTCATCGTAGTGCCGCCCGTAGCCGCCGGATGGCCCCATGCGGCCGTTGCTCTCAACGTACTGTTTGAGACGGTCGCTCTGGTTGTACGAAAGAGCTGGCATGCCGTTGACCACATCGGGAAGGCCGGCGCCGAGGCTAACGCCTCCCTGGCCAACACCTTTACCACCAATGACACTGTTGGTTGTGTCCGTGTACTCAGAATTGGCAACGCTCTCACCGGCGATGCTCTCGGTTGCCCGGCCACGTGCCTTACCGCCACGGCCAGCTGTTCCAACACCTGGGAGGCCAGGCCACTGCTCTGGGTTGAAGTTGGAGAACATGCTGGGGAAAGAACCTCCAAGGGCAGCACCGCCAGTAAAGGCAGAGCTATGAACCGAAGACACGTCGTCTGGGATGTAGGAGAGCATGGATCCAGAATCAACATCACGATTAGATGGAGGGTAGAAACGGCCGTTCATCGCAGAATTGGCTCCATACTGTTGTCCGTGGTTGTTCTTCTGTCGGTATTTCACATTGGGTCGACCAAACTGCAGCAGGCAGGCTTGAAGATTGGTCAAGGGCCCTTCAACGAAACATTTTCTGTCCTTGAAATGAACCAGGAGGCTGTGCCAAAGCTCGTGCTTAGACAGAACCTTGGGGTTGCCAAGAATAACCAGGCCGTACTTGGCTCGAGTGAGTGCGACGTTAAGACGGCGTGGGTCTGATAAGAAACCGATGCCTTGATTGTCGTTGGATCGAACGCAAGAAAGCACAATGAAGTCCTTTTCTCTGCCCTGGAACGCATCCACAGAGGCAACTTCGACCTCCTTGTACTTTTCCTTGTTATATGTGCCCGAGTTTTGCATTGTTGTTACAATGAAGCTTCGCTGCCCTTCGTATGGCGTGATGACACCAATGTCTGCCGCCTTTACGCCAGCCTTGAAGAAGCGAGTGATGGCCTTCTCCACGTTGGAAGCTTCGGTACGGTTGAGGTAGGATGTTCCGGAGGCGGAGATTTCTTCGTGTCCCAGGTTCGACCAGAACATCATCGGCATCTCGGGTAGAGGCCATGGGAAGTCTACATCCTTTCGGATACGGCCCTCGGCGTTTACTCCGTTCTGGAGATTTCCATTGTAGAACATGTTGGAGGGGAACTCGGACAAGCATGGGTGCATTCGGTATTGCATCTTCAACATGGTTGGCTGGGTTTTGAGACGGATAAGTCGCTCAAATAGGGATTGGTTTAGACCAGCCTTGGCTGCTTTCTTGTTCATGATGACAGGACCAAGCTGCTGGTGATCCCCAACAAGAACGACTTGTTTGCAACCAAGAACCAGAGGAATCATGCACTCAGGTTCGGCGGACTGCGTCGACTCATCGATGAGCACATTTCTGAACTTCATCTTGGACAGACGAGGGTCGCCTGCACCGACACATGTGCAGCAAACGACATCGGCATTTTGCAGAATCTCGCGCTCAGCAACCTTGGTAAGCTGCTTGAACTTCTTCTCATCCTGCAGGGACAGCTCGCCGAGCTCATTCTTGAGTTGTGAGAGCTTCACCAACTCGTTGTTTGTGCCTGCCATACGAACTTGTTCATGCAGTGAGAGGAAGGTGACGGAAGACTCTACATCCTCGCGTGACTTGGCCGTGAGTCGCACAACCTTGAGGCCAGTTCGGTGAATTCGCTCGCAAAGCTGGTCGACGGCCACGTTAGATGGGGCACAGACAAGAACTTGGTTTCCAGTCGTCTTGGCCAGATGGTAAATGATGGTGGCTGATGTGACGGTCTTGCCAGTTCCGGGAGGTCCCTGGATGAGACTGAGAGGTCTCTGTAGAGACGCCTTGATGGCCTCAACTTGGCTGTTATTCAAATCAGGCAGTCCGGGAGCCGACCACTTCTTAGGCATGTTGATTTTCATCGGCTGGTGGGAGACTTCATGACCAAGGAGATAATGGAAAATGTATCCCGAGACACTCATGTCATCGACCGCGAAGGTTTTCATTGCGAGTTGCATTCTGTCGTACGAAGTTGCTTTCCAAACGTAATCGGCCGAGAAGTTGTGAGAAAGCTCAGTTGGGACTGACTTTTCATTGCCAGATTTTCGCAGCTCCAGGGACACTTCGTCTGACTGATTGTTGGGGATCTTGATGACATATCCCACACCTTCCCAGGCTGGCCCGAGTTCGCCATTGTATCGTAGTCGCATCTCATCACCAACCGCGAGCTTAACATCGCCGGATTCAATCTTATGAAGATTGAAGCTGGCAATGTGCTTCTGGTTGAGACCCAAATCCCATCGAATAATCAGGCCATCCTCAGACTGGGCTTCCTTCAATTTCTTGTCGTAGTCGGACTCCATTTTGACCAGTGGCCCGAAGATGTTCTGGTAGTGGAAAGGATCTTCGTATTCAAGAACGACTGGGGATGGATCGTCGTCAATGTTCGAGGACTTTTCGAGATCCACAACCGTGGCGTTTGGTTCGACTTTCCACATCTCCTCCAGCTTGGCAATCATGTTAGGTGACAGATGACGGGCTCGGAGCTGTTCAGCATCGGATGGAGTAGACACAAGCCATGGCAAGAAGGCTCGCTCAGCAATCAGAGGTTCCCATCGCGACGTATCCCAGTTCATATCCTTGTTCGACGAGGCAGAGGCGCATGGTTGCCGACAGAGAAGTACCACCACAGTATCCGACTTTGCCGGGATAAACCCCAACAAGAATGCGTTCTTTGTTCCGCAGTTGTAGCATTCTAGCACCGTGTCTCCGAGGGCGGATTCAGGGTGAAGCTGAACCTCTTTGTGACGGGCTCGAACGAGATGGTTGACGATGTGGGTCGAGGTTCCGTTGCCACGAGCGCTACAGAACCACTTGTTGCAACTCAGACACTTGACAACGCAGCTTGGGGAATGAATTCCACAGTATCTGTCCAGTATGTGTTAGGCAAATCCAATAAAACCATCAAAAACGTCAGCCTTGCTTACGCGCATGCATGAGCGGGCAGTTGCTTGTCCTCTCGTGGGCCCTTCAGCTTCATTCCAGACATGCCGTCTGTGGCGCTTTCGGTACTATCATTGTCATCGTCATCTTTGACTTCTCTCTGGTTGTCGTCATCGTCGGCTCGGATTCGGCTGCCGCCTGCCTTGAGGCCAAGCAGGGCAGAGTCTGGTTCTAGGCGATCCAAGTCGTCTGCGCCGGCATTGATGGCTTTGGCCGAGTTTGAAACTAGATGATTGCCTATCTGGGCGAAAGGGTCCGCCATGTTGGGTCGGATAGGCGAGGGTGGGTGATCCGGAGTCGGTTTTCTCTGAAAGTCGTTGGTTAGCACTTTGGACTGGAACGGAAATGGACGGTCGGTGGGCACTCGGTGTAGATGCCAGTAAAATGCGATTGCTTTAGATATTCCATACCTCCCGAAGATCCGGGGCTTGCAGTAGCCCGAAGTTTCGCGCGACCAAATGCCGCGTGGTTTGGTGATCCGGGTTTCAAGTGGTGTGTATGTGTACCGTAGATCAGGTTCACATCATCGCTGAGAGTATGCGCGCCAGTACTTGCGAGACAGCTATAAACCTAGCTTATGCGAGGGCCGGAATTTCTGGTAGACCGAAATGTCGGCAGGCGAAGTAGGAGACGGCGATCGAGTCAGGACCAGTGCTTGTCGAAGCTTTTGCTCACCGGCGGCATCCAAATTATTTCTTGACAAAGAAAGTGAGCCACCAAACGGCATTCACTGGTAGCAAGCGGCGTGGGGAGTTTGGTGGGATATTTTCGCAGCCACGTGATAAGGCCTGGCCGTATCGATAACGCCCTGAAGGGCACCAACCGTGGCTTAGACAGTGGCTCAAAACTTGAGCTTTGAATTGGGGGAACATTCCTACACATAAAGCGAGGATGAAAAGTTGGCAACATCCCAGTAATGCATGGAAATGCATTGGATGCCTTTGACCACACACGTGGGAGCTCTGAAAATACATATCGCTGGGCTATACCCCCGACAAAGCACGCAGGCTGGTCAACAACACCTGATGTCAACCTAAATGCGTCACAGTTCTCGGCCGAGAACATCGCCCGATCCGGCCGGAAGTTTTCTTCGCTCTGTGCCCAGCTATATGTATGTTCAGGGGGTATTGCACGATTGGCTACATTTTGAAACGTATAGGAGCGGGCCATGGAGATCAACATCCGCATCTTCGGGCATAAAAAGCATGACACTTACAGCGTATCAAGGCTTGCTCTAAATGGCCATGCGAGACCATGGCGTCTTGCGCACAAGGTACTTGCCTTGAATCAGCCTTTCCAATGCATTGTCTGGCTGCCATGATGATAGCAGAATCGGGAACGAGTTTTTTATTGACCCCAGCTATGAGTGCCCATAACAATAGGCGGTATTCCATTAAGCCTTCTGTTGGGCACCACCGTAAGGGGTTAAGGTATTGCGAAGACTGGTGCAGCAGTACCGTCGGACTCGGTTGCTGCGTCAACAGGGATGATGGGTTGTGGCGATTTATGGGGTTAATCGCATGCAATTTCATCGTGTATCACATAAATCGAGGCTATTAGTATGACCATGACAAGGAACGGCGATTTCAAAGTCCGGATGCCCTCGCCAGTAAACAGCAGTCGTAATAAGATTTTGGAGGCTATGAGTGATGGCTATTGGTGTGGGAGATCTGGATCTGACGAACTACGCACTATACCTAAACCTAAGGTAGGTCTTGGTACAGTATGGATACAGTACCCAAGTACCGATGTGAGTGGAAAGGCAATCCGAGAGTTCGGGTTGTGGGAGGGTTGCTATTAATGCGCCGTGGTTGGCTGGGCGGCGCGCTACTATGAAATCATGAGCCCCATTGCGCGGACACGCAGCGCCGACACTCGCCATTACGTCGTAGATGCGGCCAAGCCACAAGATGCGCGGTTCGGCCGACAAAAAACGTGGGACCAAGGCTGTTGGCATTGGACCCTGGCAGGACTCCAAAGATTAGCAGAGTAAGCAGCAAGTATTACGATAATAAACACAATAGTCTATTATCTGCCTGTTGTAGCGGTTTTATGGTTAGGCAAAGGGGAGATGTCCAGTCCACGTTTTCTTTCGCCCACCCGAGGTCTTCGCGTTAGGCGCTAAGATGCGAGCCTCAAGACGTGGCCAGCATTATGTAATTAGGAAGCTCTCACCATGTGCGACCTGGGGAGGCAAACTGGCCATTGAGCTGCTAGGATTGCTGGCTCGCAAAACTAACATGTGGTGTGGATCCGAGAAGGCCGCAGCTCCATATGCAATATCCCCTGAGCTGTGCTGATGGAGGGAGGCAATTCAGCCCTGGGAGCTCACAAAGAATGACGAGTGAACATCCTGCGATTCTGTAAAAGAGACAGAAATGATTGGGCGACTGGGGTCTTTATAATGATGTGTCTGTCTAATGCGACATTTCGCAGATATGGAATCAACGGTTGGAGCCATGCTTGGGGGCTTTGATCACCCCTGTAGGCCTCTGCAGGCAGGCCTGGCCTAATTTCCCACCTGTAGTTCCGAAACAACCCTGACAAGGTCCCCTAAGGCAAAAAGCCGGTGTTTGAGCAGGAGCGCGCGTACGAATACCACGCAGTGCGAAGGCAAAAAATGAATGCACAGGCCAGCGCCGTGCTGACCATTTGCTATCCCGGTAGCAAGAAACTTTTTCTACGGTGAAGAAATTGGCATCGCCAGCCATGAGACGTGGAAGCGAGTACGATGCCGCGGACGGGCTTCGCCAGCGCTTAGAAGACGGCGATGAGCACTAACGGCCGGCTAGGTTGCTCTGCCACTGTAACCTAGTGACGTCGCAGCACTAATAACATTTGGAGCATCCCGTAGGTACTTACCTGCCTGTATGACAACCAGCAATTCCACCCAGCCCCACAGTCAGCCGATCATCCACCCAAGAGTTCGCTGTTTGCTCCCTCTTTCCCTGCCCAGGTCGCCTGTCGCCCATTTCCTTCATAATAATTTGGAGCTCCCACCCACTTCCCCCGGAATCTTTGTCGTGCTCCTTCTTTGTGTACGAGGCTCTCAGCGCACGATTGCATCGTCCAACCGCCCTTTGTCTGCCCAGTCTCTCCTTCGCGCTTCTCACCGCCGACAACTAATTGCCTCTCTCGCGTCGCCTCTCAAATCGCAAGCCTTCTTGCAGCGTCGCGAAAGTCGCCAAAGGGGTCATCACCACCCGAGCTACCAATTTCACGTCGCACCCAAACACAGCTGTTCACCATGTCCGGCAATCCATACCAGCAGAACCCCTACCAATCGGGGCCATCGCAAGAGTACGGGTATGGGAATCAGGTAGGTCGACACTGGATCCCCAAAACAACCGTGACTCGGGACAGTCGGGAGCTACTGGGCGTGGTTGCTCACTGTCTTACGTCAAAAGCAAACTATGGCTAACTCCGTCCCCGGCACAGCAACAAAATCCCTACGCCCAGGACCAGCAGCAGTACGGACAGTATGAGATGCAGGACCTCGGAAACAATGGTTATGCCGAGCCCACAACCCTATCCCAGTCGGAATTCCTGAACCGAGTCCAGAAGCTTCGCACCGACATTAAGGGCCTCACCGGCGACATCGACTTGATTGCGCAACTCCACCAGCGCACTCTCAGTGGAACCGATGGGCAGGTCAGGGATCAGCTCGAGCAGGTCGTTACCCAGACCCAGATTCGCAACACGGCGATCAAGGACGGCATCAAGGGCCTTGAGCGAGACCTTTCCAAGACGACCGACAGCTCCCGCAACACCAAGAACACCCAGCTCCAGTCGCTCAAGACATTCTTCAAGTCCGAGCTTGACAAGTATCAAAGCATTGAGCGCGACTATCAAAATAAGTTCCGCGAACAAATCGCTCGCCAGTACCGCATCGTAAACCCAGATGCCACCGATGAGGAGGTTCAGCAGGCCACCGAGGCCGATTGGGGCAATGAGGGTGTCTTCCAGACAGCGGTACGTAACATAGCCTCCCGCGTCTTTTGACTACATACTTTCATAGCAAAGTCTATTCTTAAGTTTTCTAACATGGTATTCTAATCTAGCTTCGCACAAACCGAACTGGCCATGCTAGCTCTATTCTTGGCAACGTTCGCGCCCGCCACAATGAGTTGCAGCGCATCGAGCAGACCTTGGTGGACCTCTCTGCTCTGTACGCCGACCTCGCCAGCATGGTTGAGCAACAGGATGAGGTAGTCGCTGTTGCCGAGCACAACGCCCAGGATACCGTCGTCAACATGGAGAAAGGAAACGAACAGGTGGAAGTAGGCATCAAGCATGCTCGCAACACCCGCAAGCTCAAGTGGTGGTGCCTGGGTATCACCGTGCTCATCATCATCATCGTCGTCGTCGCCGTCGTGGCCTGGTACTTCACTGTCGGCCCCGGCGCGAACAAGAACAAGTAATAGCCGCAACAAGTTGTCCACGGCCGAAAAGTTTAACCTTGGGACCGATGATGGATGGGCCCATCGAAAATATTGCCAAAGCGCCTGCACGATTAGTGGGCTGCTCGCCATACATACCCTTGTTTCTAATGTCGCAGATAGACACTTGTTGTTGTTTCTTGTCTTGCTAGTTATTTTCTTTTTCATGTTCTTACGATCGTTACGGGATACCACCAACAGTTCGCAGGTACCTCCTCCGCCGACATCTCTAATCCTCTTTTATGTATCGTCGGGGAGGGGCTTATTTTAGTTCGACATTATTGGATTGAGTTCTTTTTGGGGGATGGTGTGTCAAGGGGAAAATCACTTCGCATGGAGTTTTTCTTTATATTTTATTGCCGTCCCGTCTTTGAGAGGGGACTGGGGAGGCAATTTCATTCATGTAATGCTCCGGGTTGCGTGTGGGCTGCATCCGGTTCTCAGACGAGAGCAGCTTCGGTGCGGAACACGCGTTTCGTTGTACTTGCACCACGAGGTTGGAACAATGCATGGGTGGTGTATTGATAGGTAGTCGACCATCAATTGAATTTGAGTAGATCACTGGATAGCCGAATTTTGAAGTGACAGTTGAACATGTTGACAATTAGTATGACATCTGCACATCGACACATCAGTGCTTGAGTGACCTTTACACTAAACTGAAGGGAGTTTTGTGGGAAAATGGAAGATGAAAATGGATAAAGAGAGAGTTCACATTATTATATACACGTTACATACAATAGGGTCCATTTGCAATATCGAGAAGCTCCCGACTCCGAATCATGATGAACACTTTTTTTCACCCACCCTGCCAAACCGGGGACATAAACTAGACTGCGACAAGCCACAACTCGGTCCTAAGGCTGTACCTGTCATCGTCGTTATATAACTCGCTTCCGTTACCAGACCCTCATCATACACACACTCACTACTCGCACACGCACCACTTAAATATAAACTAGGTGATTGGAGGTTGTTACCTTATGCGGCAGGCATCCGCAATCCAGGCGGGCCACCAGCGCTCAGCTTGGCCGCCAGCTTGGGGTACTTTTCTGTTACTTGGACCTGGGTCCTTGTGGCCTCGGCGTAGGAGAGGGCGTTGACAATCTCGCCCTCGGTGCGGGCAAGCTCGGCAGCCCTCTCGAAATACTTGAGGGCGCCGGGCACGTTATTCTGTTGCAATAAGAGCTGTGCCATGGTGGCAACAGCAATATCACACTCGGGGTCGACTGGATGGCACGTTAGCAATCACGTTGTTGATACACAGCAATAGTTAATCTTACTGATGAGTGCCTTCTGGCAGAGGTTCTCAGCCTCCTTGAAGTCCTGCTTCCACTGGAAGAGAGCCAAGGCCTTGTTGATAAGCGGTAGGACGTTCATCGACATGGGCTTGGTCTGCTTCTCCATCTCCATGGCAACGTCGAATTTCTCGACGGCCTCGGAGAAGTTGCCCTGATCTAAGAGCAGCTCACCGTAGTAGTTGTATACATCTGGGATCTTGGGGAAGTTCTTGATGCATCTGCGGAAGGTAGCCATAGACGAGGCGATTGAGCCCATCTTGTACTGAGTCACACCAAGTTGGATGTGGGAGAAAATGAAATCCTTGTCGAGGTCAATTGACTTCTGGTAATCCTTCTGGGCGTCGGAAAGATCACCCTTGATGAAGTGAGCCTGGGCACGGTGGTAGTAGATGTCGGGATCTTCCCTGTCCTGCTCAAGAGCCTTGGCGAACTCCTCTTCAGCCTTGATAGGGTCGCCCAGCTCCAGGCTGATGCTAGCACGCTTGATGTAGCTCTGGATCATACCAGGGTCAAGTTCAATGCTCTTGTCGAAGTCCTTGGTGGCCTCGGCGTGGTTGCCGAGCAGGGTACGGACAGTACCACGCATGTTGTAGGCCAGGGCCTCGTGCTCACCGAGGTCGCCAAGCTCAAGAGCCTTCTCGAAGGCAACTCGGGCCTCCTCGTATCCGTCACCAGTCTTCTTCTCTAAGCCTTGCAGACCGAGCTGCAGCTGTCCCTTTCCTGTCTCAGCAGAGAGCTCAACGTTGTCCTCGAGTCCATCAGGGCGGGGCTTCTCGCGGAAGCTCTGGAGGTAGTTGCCGACGAAAATGGGGCTGGGCATCTTCACAGGGCGAGATGCCATCATCTCCTTGGCTTTCTGTTCAGCGAAGGCCTTGAGCAGTCGCTCAACAGCCTGGGCAGTGGATTCGCTCTTGAAGTTATCGATGATGCAGGATGCAGTGAAATCGAGAAGAGCTTCGGAATACTTCTTTTGGTGCTCATAAGCGGTGGCGCGACGGTTGATAGCCTTCACGTACTCGGGGTCCATGTTGATAGCAGCAGTCGTGTCCTCGATCACCTTGTCCCACTCGCTCAGAGCACTGTGGCAGGCGGCTCGGTTGGAATAGAAGACGGGGTCGGGCTTGCAAATGATGGCCTTGGTGTAGAGGTCGATAGCCTTATTGTATGCCTTGTCACCGTAGGCCTTGTTTCCGGCGGCCTTGAGCTTGGCAGCATACTCCTCACGCTGCTCCTGAGTTAAGCTTAAGACTGAGTTCTCATCAACTTCCGGAAGCTCCGATTCGGTCTCGACTGAAGCACTCTTGGATTGGGCAGCAGATGGGGCCTCCTTGGCCTCTGCAGCTTTGCGTTCGGCTTCTTTTCGCTTCCGTCGCTCCTTCTTGCTGAGCTTGGGGCTGGCATCGTTCTTGGCCTTTGGGAGAAAGAGTTAGCTGAATTAGTCCATGCCCGCTTCCATGGCCATCTCCATCTGGGATTCGGGGGTTTAGGCAAGGATGAGAGCAAGGTCCCCCGCCGACAAAATATGAACATACCGAATCAGAGGTTAGGTAGTAGACTGCGCCGGCACCAGTCACTGCCACCACTACACCAGCAATGGTGTAGACGACAGCCTTGTTTTCCGAGGCCCATGATGATATGCGGTCCCAGACTGAGCTGGATGGGTCGACGGGGATGGCAGCTGTGGGCGGGTTGGGTGCCACCGAGGGCAGAGGATTCGACATGGTGGCGGGATTGGGAAATTAGAGAAGTACAATTGAGAGAAGCCGAGGGGTAAAAGGAGCCCCAGCTATTACAAGAGATGCAAGAGGCTGTTGCGTAGGCGCAATCAGGCGGGAGTGCGACGGGGAGCTTGGGGACGCGCAGAAAAAGAATGATGGAAGGCCGAAACCAGGTCAATGAAATTTCCGTGGAGCATGCGTTGGGTCCAATGGGGGGCGTCTAGGTGCTGCGGTGCAGTGCCAGAGAGCTGAGGCACTGTGCCCGTGCTGCGCTGCGGCAGTGTGAGCAGGTACTGTGCTGTGCTGGCGGTCTGTTTATACCGAGCACACGACTGGCTAGAAGGCCCCCACTCGACTTTTTCCCGGGCGATGACCTCGCCTTACATCACGACGTGCTTACCTAAACCCGGCTCCCTCAGCTCTGGACCTAGCAGATCATACGACATCTTTCAAATACTGGGATGGCACGGGATCAATTGGGTAGGTCGGTAGGGAACAATGGCAAGCGTCTAGGAGGAAGGAGGGGTATTTTGATCGCATACCAGATCCAATTCAGCAGGGACAGGCGGCTGGTCGTTTGCTTTGCTTGAAGCTGTGGCAGGCACGTTGAGCCGGCTGACTAAGGCAACTACAAGTTCATGCCGTCACCATCTCATCTTGTCCAATGGCTGGTGCCCTGGCCCAAACGCTTGCTACACGCGGAAACGTGCCAACCACGCATCGCATACCCGCATACTGAACCTAACCTATATGTACGGATCTATCTGCCTACCTAGCTAGGTAGTAGCACGCATATATAAATAGTAGTGGGGCATTTGTAGAGACTGCAAATCAGAAAGCTTCCACATTGCCCTCGCCTGTCGTCTATCTAACCCAAGACTAACTTCAAATACCATGACAGCTCAGTTCCATCTGCTGACGACTCCCCGCTATGACAAGCAACTTCTCCAGGTGCGAGAGCGGCACGGGGATTATCCTGGATGGAATTTCCATCAAGAGTCCCCCATATACATGTGGGACTATCACCACAAACGCTTACTGAAGGGCGCCAAGTACTTTGGATGGAAGGCTGCAGTCCAGGCTCTGGAGACACATCTTAATGTCGACAGATTCGCTAAGGAAATTGATAACTTCGTCGGGCCTTGCCCAGAGACGCCCCTTCGTTTGAGGATCCTGCTCTCTCCTGAGGGATCAGTTCATATGGAGAAATATGGCATTTCTGCCACCGGATTGGAGAATCTGTTCCCAGAGTCGTTGGACCAGGCATCCGGACCAGATTCTCCAGAAACTATGATGGGACCCAAAGCAACGCCCATGTACACATTAGTAGTGGACCGGGAAAGGACTAAAAGCTCTGTCCATACACGGTTCAAAACCACACTCAGAGACGTGTATGATGCAGCGCGCCAGCGAGCTCTACTTACGCCTTCAGAAAATGTGGAAGTGCTCCTAGTGAACGAGGATAATGGCCATGTAATGGAAGGGAGTATAACCACACCCTACTTTTCTAGGGGTGGTAGATGGGTGACCCCGCCAGTTCCCAAAGAGTTGGACGATGTTGAAGGGAGCGGAGGCCAGGACGGTGTATCAAGACGTTGGGCATTAGACCGGTAAGTTACGAGCTTCTGTAACTCCGCACGGGTATTCAAAGGTGTCTGCAAGCTAATGATGATGATGCTTTGACAGTGGTCTGGCAGTGGAAGAACCCGTGAGTGTTGAATCCCTTGTTGATGGAGAGGCATGCTGGATCAGCAATGGTGCACGAGGATTCATGCGTGCCACAGTCAAGTTGACGGACGCGCAATCGTAGCCTCAATGGCAGTGTCCTGCATTCTTGGAGTTTTATGGACGACATATATTGAGGTCATCCGACCGCTCATCTCATTATCGTTGGTCCCTAGGATGAAATGGATACGGTTAATAATGGTTGATACTGAACAACATCTACCTAGCTATCACTTGGGTGGCCCATGATCGGATCAATTGAGCAGATATTTTGTTGCATACTGAGGTAGGCCTTAGCAAAGAAAGCGACTGGAAGGAAAAGCCATTACAAAGGAGTGTAAGATCCTAGATTGTTAAACGCTCCATGAAAGTGCAAACGGTTACTACTTATCGTCGTAGATGCCGAAACCTCGATGCGTAATGGATGCTGCCTGGCTGGTAGATGCTACGGGTGCTTGAGCGCATTGCCCTCATACAAGCCGGCAACCAAGTTCTCGAGGGCAACACCTTATATATAATTCCCCGGGCATTTTATTCAACAAGAGTAATAAACCCTGTAGCGCAGTTCAGCGCTCTCTCGTGCGGTTTCCCTGTGATGTACTCACACTGAAGAGAAGACCGAATGTAGGTGTATCCCCCTCCCCCCTACGGCAAGTCAAGAGAATGAGTACATCGCGGGGCCACGGGAGAGGACCTCGGTTCGAATCCGAGCAGAAGCATTATTTTTCTCTTCTTTTCTGTTTTTGCCCTTTATTTTTCTTGGGCAAGCAAGCCATTGTGATAGGTTCCTGTGCTGGGTGGCGTACGTGAACACAAAATGCACTCCAATGAGAGGTAGAAAAGCATAATGCACGGATCGCCACTACCTTTAAACCGGTGTCCACTAATCTCCACTGTCTCAGACAACGCGACGCGACTCTCCAGGTCATCGGTGAACAGAGAATTTCATCTCAACCCGTGAATTAACCACTCTCTATGGAATCCTGGACGCATAGAAGAATAAAGTAATCGAATCACTTCGTCGCTTTCAATCATCAGCATCAGAATGTCTGCAGACCGCAACCCGACAGCTGAGGTCCTGGTGACTGAAGGCCGTCGACACTATGCTTCTAAGCGATACAAGCCAGCATTGGAGAGCTTCACACGCGTATGACTTGGAGCCTCCCAAACCCTTCTTAACCTTGGGCGTGCTTTCGATAGCTAATTTTCTCCCCTAGGCGATGAACCGTTGCTCTTGTACAAATGGCACTCGTCGTGCGAGGTGCACATGTAAAAACTTCGAGGAGGTCGCGTCTCGGGACGGGTCCATTTTCGATGAAGCGATGAAATGCACCTGTGAGATCGGGAAGTCGTTTAACCAGTGCCGCAACTCGCTTCATATCCAGGCTCTCAACTATCGCGCGGCTACATTCGAAGCCATGAACGAACTGGTTCGTGCCAGGAAGGACGCTGAGTGGATCCTGGAGCTCGCCCCCGGTCTCCCTGATGTATGGCACCTTCAAAGCCTTTGCGATGGGGCCATTTTGAGCTGACTTGATTTCAGGGTTATCTACGACTAGGTAAAATCGCCCGATTGCAGAAGAAGAACGAATTCGCATGGAAAGTTTTCAATGCTGGCATAGATGCTTGCTCTTCAACTGAAGCAAGCAACTCCCGTGCTTTCAAGGTTAGTCCTCTATATGGGTGGGGTAATGCATATTGGGCTTACAACAGAGTAGCAACTATACGAAGCTCGGAAGCCTCTCCATGCTAAATTCTTTCGGCATGATCCCTTCCAATTGCCTCTGGATGTTGTGCAACTCATCTTGTCGCGGCTCGACTTTGTGTCATTGCTGTATGTTCCTGTTCATTTTCTTACAGACCATAATGTGAACCGTTCAGCTGACCACCAAATAGACGATGCCTCCTTGTTTCCAAGTCTTGGAAACGTTCTCTGACAGGTCCGGAAAACCATTATCTGTGGAGGGAGCTGGACTTCATTGCTACGAAACCACGGCGAGCTCCGAGTACAGCAGCGATCATCAAATTGCTCTCTTACTCTGGAAATAACGCCCGCCGTCTCCTGATTGGAAATGCGGCGAGATTTTTTCTTACGCAGTCAAAGTTCCGGGTGTTTCTCCGAGGGGCACGCCAGCTGGAGTATCTCGAGCTTCATCATCAAGCTGAACCTATTGATATTGAGGATTCAGCGTCGAAGAATGCTCCAAGATCACTGAAGCATCTAGTTCTCTCACACTGTGGACTCCCTCGAAACCTGGTCATTGCAAATAGTAACAGCCTACAATCCATGGAACTGACAAGCGTGACGACGGCCAGGCCTGGGAGAGGCCCCCTATTTGAATGTCCCCAGATACCGAGCCTGAAACATCTTCGTATGGAGATGGGTATCACCGTACCACTGGTAAGATACAACCTCTCAAGATGAAGCGATATTGATTAGGCGGGGAAGCTGACTCTTCTGATTTAGGAGAAACTAATAGCTTGCTTTCCCAACCTTGAGCAGTTGCTCTTGAACAGGGTCTCCCTCACTTGCTACTCCTCGGAAGCAATGAGCTTGCCGCGACTTCGAGTGTTGAGCGTCAATATAAACTTTCTGCATATTGAGTTAGAGTCATTGGCCGGCCTGCCGCGCTTTATTTTGATGGACGAATGGGAACATTTACAACATATTGAATTCCAGGCGGAGCGAATATACGTAGATCCTAAGGGGTCGAGCTTCTTGCGTGGCGATCTTAGATTCCTTGGAAACAATGACCTTCAGGAGACGTCTTCGTTTCGATTCAAGAGGCTTAAATCACTTCGTCTGGATCAAGTCGTGCTCGACCCGCTGGCATCTAGCCAAATGCTCGCGTCAAGCATCGAAAACGGGTCACTTGAATCCTTGGACATTGTGTTCGACTGTCCCGTGGACGAATATAATGCGGCGTCATACAGTTGCCAGCGTATTATCGAACACGAATGGCTCTGCGGCTCCCCATCAATCCGCCGCATTGGCCTCTTCGGTTTTCGGTTTAGGAAATACCCCATCAAGGATAGCGACATGCCGCTGCCTGACTTCCTTGGTAGTTTCCCAAACCTGGAAACATTGGAGATCCGTTCTGAAGTCTACGAAAGCACGGAATTCGCTAGCCTGATTGTGGATATCTTGAAGAAGACCAAGTTGAAAACTATATACCAGAGCGGAGCAATCGGTTTCGATCTGGATATTCTTCGAAAAAGCGCAGAGCAGGTAGGGGTGGAGGTAGTCTCAGGGCCGCCACCTCGCGTCTGGCCACTGCCTATTACAGCTGATTAGAGAGTCAATGGGGATTGGTAAAGAGCCTTGATAAGAATTTAACATTTTGTTAAGGGCTTCTTGTGTCTCGCCTAAGGCGTTAGGGGCTTGCCAACTTGTAATATCCAGCACGGTAGTTTTCCTCGCTATCTATGAATGTCATATTCTCTCAGGACATCAACATCGTCACATCGTGTGCCAGATATTTGGTCGAGCTGCAGGATAGTTGTATGGCCTTTCAAAGCTCAATTGACGAAACACACATTCAGACTATCCTCTCATGGAGTAGATCTGATTACCAAGACTCTATCGGTGTGCCCATATCCTCACATGATGAGCTTCAAGCAGTATTTCCCACTCTTACACCTGGTTTCATCCCCTGCCGACCTTGAAGGAGAGAATCTGACTTGCGTTAACCAGCTGTACGACATATGCGAGCAAGGGAGGGTCGACTTACATCATTTTTGCCTACGGCAACAAAGTCGTCCTCGGAAACTCTCATATTCCCGATACCTTCTACATACGCTATTGGTGCGTCGCCCATCACCTTCTTGGCGACGTCACCGACAGTTGAACCTTTCTTGACAAGGACACAGTCTCTAAAGACGAACTTGGACTCTGCAGCGCCTGAACTGAAAGTCGAAGTATTGCGAACTGGGAACACGGGAACCAGTCCCAAAAGTTCTGCCGCCTTTGAAAGAACTTGGACGACTCCCGTGGATCCAAATCGATATAGTACCATATCCTTAAGGTTCTCAATGCGATTTCTGTTCTTCTCGTCCAAGTCCTTGAGGCCACCGCCGGTCGGGTCTCCTTGCTCAATGAGGTCTTCCTTTGTATCAACAAATTCGCTCCCTTCGACATATTTGATATACCCTTGTTTTGCCATTTTCCGAAGGAAGATCTCGGATATTGCAGAACAGAGCACGATGGTTTTGGGATCCTGCATCTTGGCGATCTTGGAGATGTTCTTATCCGCGTCGGGGTGATCAATCTTGTTGAGCGCGATGACGGTTGGGAACTTCTCATCTACGAAGCAATTGACAATGTGCGCCACCGTCTCGTCGCTCCAGTCCTCCAAGGGCTCCTTGACGCCCGACCGGTCGAGCGTGCGGTTGATGACGGTCGACGTCGCGCCGTATCCGGAGAACTGGCCCTGGAGGGTTTCCACCGCGTTGCCCTTGATGGCCATGTGCCTCCGGCGGATCGACCCCCACTTCTGCATGAGGTTGCCCAGGATCCATGCGACGACCTCGCTCCGCAGCCAGGCGATGTCGACGGACGGATCGTACCCTCTCGTCTCCTTGCCTTCCGCGTCCACCGTCCCCGAAGCGTCGACGACGTGGATGAGCGCATCGGCGTGCCGTAGGTCGTCGAGGAACTTGTTTCCCAGCCCGCGGCCCTGGTGGGCGCCGGGCACGAGACCGGCGACGTCGAGCAGCTCGATGGGGACGGAGCGTCTGCCCGCGTCGCACGCTCCGTAGTTGGGTTTACAGCGGTCGGAGACGTTGTGACGGGCGCATGCGCAGTCGATCTGGAGGTAGCCGATGGCCCTCTGTGGGTCTATAGTAGTGAAGCTGTATGATGCGTCTTTGTTCAGTGTCTTATCTTCCAACAACAGGAGGGTGTGGAGGGGGGGCCGCATACGGGAAGTTGCCTAAGAAGATATCAGCGCGCCTGGCCCGGACATGTTCACTTGGAACGCAAGGACGTAGAGCAGACTACCGACCGACTTTGGACGAGGCATCCGTCAAGCTGTTGAGGGTGGAGCTCTTGCCTGCGGAGGGCTTGCCGACGAGGCCAATGAGGGGATCGCGGGGCATGGCGGCGTCGAGGAGAGAGATTTGAGTACGGAGGGGTCTAAGTATGTATTACAATGCTGGGCCACTGGGCTGGGCCATTAGATCTAGGACGAATGCAAGGCGAATTTAGGATCTATCGGCGGCCTGCTCGCTTCGATTTACGATGATGCGATGCTTGCTTGGCTGGATTGTCTCTATGGCGGGGTGAATTGAAGCGCGTGTGCGACGTCACAAGAAATTTTCATTTTTGGATACGCGATAAGATAGATACTGTCGGTAGTGGTGGTGGTACTCCACCAGCATTGATTGAGGGTGGCCGCCCGCTTGACCGTGGGAAGCACATGGCCAAGTAGCATTTGCCAGGAAGATGCAGTTTAAAAAAGAATAAGGACAAGGGATGAATTAGGATGGCTGTTAATTGAACAGATTAGGTTTTCACAGGCAGATAATCGATAGGCAGGGCAGATGGGAGCGCTTAATTTTCCGAGCGCTGGATCTGAGGGTAGCACGTAGATCTTGCTATGGAACTTGGTTTTCCATAGCCGCGGTTAACTCTACCATATCTAATCAAACCCTCAACGTCCCAACTGCCGCCCTGGTTTCTCTCTCGGCCATGTCCACTCCACTCCCCATCGACGTCCTCCCTACCTGGACACGGTTCAACAATGTTGAGCTCGACGGCATCCAGGTGGGACAGGTAGAAGGAAAGGGTCTGGGCTTCGTGGCAGATCGGGACCTCACCACCAACAAGGGATCGCCAACACTGCTCAAGATCCCCCGGGATGCCGTCCTCTCCGCGGAAGCAGTTGGGGACTATGCAAAGGTGGATCTCAAGTTCCGACAGCTGCTTGAAGGCATGGGCCACGAGGTTGGTCCTCCCCCAAGATGCCCAACCCTATGAGGGAGAGACGTCTGGCTTACCACCAGAGATGGACAAACGATGAAGACGCCAAGGATTGCCATCATGTTATATCTGATGGCCCATTACAGAGCTCCTTCCGGCGGAGGAGCCGGCTCGCATAAAGGGATCGCCTCTACCCCATGGACCGAGTACATCAGGTTCCTCCCGCGTCAAATCCCGACTCCCACCCTGTGGACGGAGGAGAAGAGGCTTCTCTTGCGGGGCACATCGCTCGAGGTGCGTTCAAGCAAGATGATGATTTACGTATCATACCCGCCGGCCATCCGGAACATTTTCGCAGTCTAGCTTCTCCCCATGATGGGATGGGAAGCTGTGGCATGGGAAACCGAGGGAAAGCCAAGCACTAATACGTGATGCTGCAGAAAGCCGTGAATGCAAAACTAGCCACCCTAGTCTCCGAGTTCGATCACTTGCGCGAGACCAGTGCAGACTTGCCGTTTTGGCAGTCGCTGCTGTTTGGGGAAGACGCCATCACGGTGAAGGACTGGGCACTAGTTGATGCGTGGTATCGATCCCGCTGTCTTGAGCTCCCGAACGCAGGACACAGCATGGTGCCCTGCCTCGACATGGCTAACCACTCAGACGCCCCGAATGCTTATTATGAGGAGACGGCTGACGGCGAGGTGGTGCTGGTCCTTAGACCTGAATCCACTGCATCCTGTGGGGATGAAGTCACCATCTCTTACGGGGCGGCGAAGTCGGCCGCGGAGATGCTCTTCAGCTACGGTTTCATCGACAGGAGTACGGCCAAGGAGGAGATTACGCTGACGCTGGACCCGTTGGCCAGTGATCCTCTGGCACAGGCAAAGGTTCACGTCTACGGGCGATCACCCCTAGTGCGGCTCACTCGGACCAAGGGGGCGGCGGCCGTGAGCTGGCATAGCCCCTTTGTTTACCTGATGTGTGTCAACGAGGAGGACGGGCTCGAGTTCAAGCTGCTGCAGGACAACGCCGGGGGAAGAGAGCTCAGAGTCTTCTGGCAGGACGAAGATGTGACGAGCAAGATTGACGACTTCGAGTCGCACATCCAGACGCACGATCTTCACTCTGTGTTTCAACTCAGGGTCGTCTCTGTCCTGCAGCAGCTGGTCGAGGCACAGCTGGAGCAAACTCGAAGCAGCCCTATCCCTGAACAGGAACACGATGCGAGCTCGAGGCACGCAGGTGGAGCAGACTACGTTCGGATCGTTGCGACACTCCGCGAGATGGAGTGCTCGCTCTTGGAAGAGGCCATGGCGTCTCTAGCAGAACAGGTAAGCGCATCCCTGCCCAATCATTGGCTCCCACCTGCTCGAGCTCAAGTTGGAGGCGAGTGGATGTGAGAAAACCGCTAGCTCTCTTCACCCCCCCTTTCCCCTAGAGGAAAAGGGGGTTTTGTTGGGTTGTTTTTACGAAACGGTCCAGCACTCTACTCGGGAGATAGAGTGTTGCATCCCGTCTAGTTCTATATGCTTTCAACTACTTGACTCTGATGATGCTAACGGCAACTTGTTAGCAAGCGGCCCTGCTTCTAGAAGACGATGTGAGGGTGTATCTCGGGTTGACGGAAGATGGCCCAATTGAGACACCGTCGGCTCAAGTGACCAATGAGGAGCCGGATTTCAGCTGAGGGACAGGGCTAGCTTAATGGCAGCCGCAGCCAATCAGGACGGATGATCGGCAACTCCGCATAGCCACGACCAACATCCATGCCCAGACCCTGGCAAGGATGTGCTGCCCATGACAAGTTAGCAGTCGTCATGGCCCTACGTACCTGCTCTGCCAGAGCCTGTGCTGGACGGGCTCGCAATAAATCACTGTATGCACACACACCACACCACTCCAGTCGCGTCCCCGAAATCCGCAGGGCAATCCGCAGGGTCAACCTGTGCCCTTTACCCACATTGGAGACTACTTACTCACCACCGATGATGAAAGTGAGTAAGGGGTCGTGGTTTGTTGGGGTTCCATCGCTGCTTCTCGATCTCTTGAAGATCAACAGAAATGACATCCTTCTGACTTACTCAAGGAACGACACTCGCCTCCCATGATTTTTGCTTTTTTAGTCAACAAAACTCAGCGTGTCAAGGGGAACGAACACCTGACCATGGCAAAAAGCCAGACGTAGCTCGATTCAATGTAAGACATGTTTTCTAGGGCTTGCTAGGCTGCGGCTGCGGATGAGAAGGCGTGCATTAGCAGGTGGGGATGGGAACGGGTGGTGGGCAAACATTGCGGCCCTGAATGGCGCTAGGAGGAGGGAGTGGCCATCCCACGCTTCACCGACCTCATGGCGAGACGCCATAGCATTGGCTTCT